AGGTGGGGGCCGGGCGGGGTCGGGCCAAGGTGGGTGGTGGGACTAGGCCAGGGCGGACTGGGCAGGGGGCGGGGCGGGCCCGGGGCGCGCTCTCTGCTGCGGTGGTCCCCCCCCACGCCCCTCCCCCGCCCGCGCGGACTCCCCCACCCCCGGAAATGCGGCTGAAATCGGGTTAATGCATAATCTGGGCGACGTGACGGGACTTCTAAGGGGCTCCAGGCTGCGCTGGGGCCGCAGCGGCAGGGGCTCCCTGTCGGCGGGGAGGGGCTGCCAGATCCCGGGACCCGGCCGCCCCTCGGGCCCAGCAGGGCTGCGCCCCTTCCCCGGCTGGAGGAACCCCATGGGGGACCCCAGACTCTCGCTGAAACTGGGGACTGAACCTCGGCCGGGCCAGGACCTCCGGCCGGTCCAGGCGATGCCGCGCCCCCGGCTGGCTGGGACCAATGGGGACCGGAGGCTGCGGTGATTGGTCAGGTAGGAGCGCGGACCCGCCCACCTCCCGGTCCCGGATCGGCTCCGGCCCTACCGCAGGGCGGAGGGCTCCCCCTGCCGTCCTGCAGCTGCAATCTCGGGTCAGCGGTGGACGTCCAACGACGCCCGCGCCAGCTCCCAGACAGGCGCTTCTCTAGCCAGCCTGGCTAGGAACACGCGGTAAACCGAGTTCCTGAGGGTCCAGGTTAGAGCCTGGCCTAGCTGAAGATCGAGGAGGAGGGAGAGGAGACTCCTCTGTCCCTCCAGGGCTGGATCTGCTGTGCCCCCCTTCACCCCAAGCCGGCCACAGGTCTCTGAGCCAGAAGCAGAGAAGGATGAACTGCCTCTGGAGGAGGGCCCCACCTCGCCAAGACACTGGTGCGGGGCTTCAGGAAAGGAGGGTGGCGCCGACGCCTGTGCTCATGCTTGCTAAGTTGCAGTGCAACAGGTGAGGGTGGGAGCCCAGGGAATGCGGCTGGAGCCAGGAGAGTGCCCCGACACAAACACACCTGCCCGGCTGCACGGATCTGTTACAGGCAAGCCAGACCTGGGGGTCCCCCAGCCCAGACACGGACCCCCACAGACCAGAAAGGGGGCTTCTGGGCCTCCAGCCAAATCCCCCTGAAGAGTCTGAAAGCTGAGGCCTGAGTGTCCTGGACTTTGGCCCAGAGAGGTGTACGTTCTGTGTCCCATCCCCCCATCTTGCCTGTGTCCAAGGCTGACTCGCCTGGCTCCTGCGGGGCTCTTTTGGGAAATCGGTATAGAAGGAAGCCTCTGATGTGGAAGCGGGTGCAGATTGTGCCCAATCAGGTGCTCTCCATCTGGGACAAGATCTTACCCATGGACTGGATGAACCCCATTCCAGGTGCCCCTCGCCTGCTAGCCGTGGCCTCTCCATCAGGCGAAACCCTGAAGGGAGGTACATTTGTCTCCCTTCGGCAGCTCGCCCCGTTGTGATGTGTGTTCATGGCCTGTCCCCACCGCTCCGCAGACCAGCGCAGGCTGGATGGGGCAGGCTGGTGTGTCCTAGAGGGCCAAGACGCCCGGAGCCTCCTGCTGGTGTAGACGAGCCTCCCTCACAACCCACCCAGCCGGGCCCTAGGGACTCACCCCCTCACCACTTCCAGGGTGCTGGTCCCAGCAGGGACCTCACTTTGTGGCATTTGGAACCAGGCCTTCCCCTCCCTGTGCTGTCTGCTGCCCAGGACGTGGGGGGAGGGGACCAGTGGTGCGGTGGCTGGCCGGGGCTCCACCAGGGCCAGGGATGGGCTCCAGCAAATGTGCCTCTTTTTGTTTCTCTACAATTTCCCAAAGGTGTGGGGATACATCTTCAATTCCTGGGGGAGTGGCGAGGGCAGTGGGAGTGTCACTATTTAGGTTCCACTAGGGCTTGTCCCTTAACTTGGCAACCCCAGCCTGATCACCACCAAGCGACCCTGGGCTCTTTACTCAGCTCCCTCCTCGCCCCTCCCCCAACCTCATCATCAGGGGTGTGGAATGGAGGGCTGGCTGATGCTGCGGCGTGTGGGGAAGGGGCGAGAGCAGGCAGAGGCAGCCATTTAGCGTTGCATCAGCTTTTATTACAGGCACTTGGTCAGGGACTCGGGTGGGGGCCCTCAGCGTGGCCCCCGGTGCCCTGCCCCACCCCCCCGCAGGCGCAAGTTCATGTACACCGTGCACCCGGCCGTGAGCTCGTACTCCCCCAGCTGGCGCTGGTCCTCCATGGGCTTCCCCTCGAAAGTCAGCCAGAACTGGTCAGCCTGCACATTCTCCTGCCGGCACACCTGCTGCTTGAGCTCCGCCACCGTCTGCGTCAGCCGGATCTCATAGGCGCTGTTGCGACCCCTGTCATTCCTCACCAGGATGCTCAGGGGGGCGTCGCAGTTCTGCACGACCAGCAAGACCGTGCTGCCGGGCTGCAGGCCCTGGCTGACGAGGCGGACCCTGTCTTGCAGCACCGTGCCGGCCGGGTGGGTGGCCAGGCGCTGCTGGAAGGGGGGCACTCCGGTCTTCTGGGCGATCTGCTGCTTCAGCTCCGAGCCCAGCATGGAGTCTGTCAGGTGCACCAGGAACTCCTCACCTCCCAGCATCTTCACCTTCAGGTCCCGACCCTTTGGGCATCACACAGACTCAGAGGCCCTGGCACCAGTCTTGGGGCCCCTACACGCACAGCATTAGTCACAGCGCAAACTCCTAAGGCCCCTAGACGCTGCTCTCTCCTCGCCGTCCTCCCCGCCCACCAGGAGAGGGACCCCGGGTGCTGGAAACGCACAGGAGTGCATTTCTAGAAGAATGGCCAGCCACCCAGGACCATCATGTCGCCTCCCTTCACCTGCTAAGATGCTCCCTGTGCCGGCCCCAAGGAACTTCAGAGTTGGCCACTGGGCAGAACCGGCCTTCCAAGACCCAGACCCTGAGGGCAGAAGGAGCCCTGTCCCTCCCCTCCTGCTGAGGCACCTGGGGCGCTGTGAGCAGCTCTGCTTGCCTGGCACACAGTAGATGCTCCACCCCCGGGAGACCCCACGAGGGGTAGGAAAATCAGCTGGTGCAGAGCCCACCTGCCCCCACCTGTCAGCCCCCTCACCATGGCTGTGGGCTCTGGCGCCGAGTCCTCCACAGGCACTGGCGAATCGCAGGGCTTGGCTTCCAGCTCCCGCTGCAGCCCTCGGGACTCAGCCCTTTTATGGGCCTGAGCGAGCACGTCACGCACGGGGCGGTGTCGGCCGAATTCCGCTCCAGTTTCGGTTTCCTTTTCCCGAGGCTAGCCCCAGAGTGAGTGGAGGAAACAAAACAGAACGGTGACCGAATCCCTGCCCCTCAGGGGTGTGCCTTCGGAAACCCCCTAAATGCCTACCACATCAGGTCCTTCACGGGATGACAAGTCGTGATAACACGATCTGAAGATTGGAAACTTTCGCTTTCCATTTACCAATTTGCAAAATTAGCAAACTTGGAAAGCATTGTCATGGTCAGTTCAGAAATAACAGAAAATAGTGACAATCCGAACTACTCAGAGGTAATCACATCGCTTTAGGACAATATTTGTTCAGATTGCTTTCCTGTGAAAGAGATTCACCTTTTTTTAAAAAATTATTTATTAATTTTTCCCCCAAAGCCCCAGAAGATAGTTGTATGTCATAGTTGCACAGCCTTCTAGTTGCTGTATGTGGGACGCGGCCTCAGCATGGCCGGAGAAGTGGTGTGTCGGTGCGCACCCAGGATCCGAACCCGGGCCGCCAGCCAGCGGAGCATGCGCACTTAACCGCTAAGCCGCGGGGCCCGCCCAAGATGCACCTTTTGTTTCTACAAAAATGAACTCATGGACACTATCCCTTAACCCAGCGAGGCCATTATAGCCTAGAGTGTGATTTAGTAACCATTCTCATATTATTGAATATTTAGTTTGTCCCCAAATTTTTACTATTACAAACAGCACATAACGGTCATAAGTTAGCTAAAAATAAAAAGTAAATACATTTTTAAATAAAAAAGTAAAAGAGTGGAAAAAACAAAATGTTTTAAATATGAATCTTGACCATTTTACCTCCCTCCTCCCCCAAAATCTCATAAGGCATCAAAATTGTTAACACACAAAAAGCAAACAGGGGGTTTTATTTTATATCTTTTTAATTTATTTTTTTGAGGTAACATTGCTTTATAACATTATATAAATTTCAGGTGTTCATCATTACATTTCCACTTCTGTGTAGACTGCATTGTGCTCACCACCAAGATTCTGGTTGCCATCCCTCACCATACACACGTGCCCCTTTACCCCTCTCACCCTCCCCCCAAACAAGGGGTTTTAAATTTCTTTCTTTTTATTATTATTATTTGTTTGTTTGTTTGTTTGTTTTTGCTTGAGGAAGATTGTCCCGGTGCTAACATCTGTGCCCTTCCTCTACTTTGTATGTGGGATGCCGCCACAGCATGGCTTGATGAGCAGTGTGTCGGTCCGCACCCGGGATCTGAACCCACGAACCCCAGGCTGCTGAAGTGGAGGGCGTGAACTTAACCACTAGGCCACTGGGCTGAGCCCTTTTTTTATTATTTTAAGTTTATATCTTGATTCATTCCTTACATGGATAATATTGGTATTATAAAAAGAAAACCACAAACATTCATTGAAACAAAGAAAACAGAATGTGAAAATCCCCCATCTCCTCCAGATGGCCACATTAAACATGGTGTATATATCTCTTGATTTCTTGATGTTGGCATGTGGTACTATGATCTTCATTTTCTTTTATTTACTTCCTCCTGTGTTACCAGCTGTCTTCCTGCTTCTGATGGGCAGAACTAAATGCACGGTTATTAAGGAGGCAAGCCACAGAACCTGGGGAGCACCTGTCTTAGTCTCCTGCCGTAACAAATCACCACACACTGGGGGGCTTAAAACAACAGATATTTATTCCCTTGCAGTTCTGCAGGACAGAGGTTCGAAATCCAGGGAGACTAAATGGCCAAGACTATCAGGCTTGTTAAAAATAACCTGATTTTACATGGCTTATAGAAGACAAGAATCATCTGAAATATAAAGATACAGGAGATTTGAAAGTAAAAGGATGGCAAGAAACATACCACACAAATCTTGACTAAGGGAGACAGATGTGGCCATATTAACAATTTTATTAGCATATTAACAAAGAAATCTTATAGGCAAAGCGTTTCCGGAGATACAGAATAATAAAAGCTTGGATTCACTGTAAAATGAAATAAATTTAAACTTGTAGGCACCTAATAACATGGCCACAAAATATATAAGTTCTAGTCACAAATGTTAATATTCTATTTATGAAATTACAACAGTCACTTATAAAGGGGCCTTTGGTTAATATTTGGTCTCATTTACAAACTAATTTAAACTTCCTTCAACTTTTAAAACAACATCTATAATGTTTAATATACTTGATTTTATTTTATTTTTTTTGTGAGGAAGATCAGTCTTGAGCTAACATCCATGCCAATCCTCCTGTTTTTGCTGAGGAAGACTGGCCCTGAGCTAACAACTGTGCCCATCTTCCTCCACTTTATACGGGATGCTTAACTGCTACGCCACGGGGCCAGCCCCCTGATTTTATTTATAAGCGCTTCAACTAAGAACAGCAGCAACAGCGAAAAACCTTCCCAAGAACGTGCACAGTTCTCACCACTTACACCTGTACACCCTGGTCCAGGGCACCACCCTCTCTCACCTGGGCCACTGCAGATACATCCTAGGGGTCTTGCTTCTATCCTGCCCCACTCCCATAATCTGTTATTGACCAGCAGCCAGAGTGATCTACACAAAACCTTCCATCCCCATGGCTTCCCATCACCCTCAGAGTGACAGAAGGAGCTTAAGCTTGCCACAACACAGCGGCATCTGGCCACTTCGCTTGCCCTCTCCTCTCCTCTCCTGTCCCTCCCTCCTCCCCTGAAGGGCTTGGCTCCAACACACTGGCCTCCTTGCTGTGCTTAGGGGGTGCCAGGCACACTCTTGCCCCAGGGCCCTTGCACTGCTTCCCCTCTTCCTGGAATGCTCCCACGACCCACATCTGCATGGTTCACTTCCTTCACCTCCTTCCAGTCTTTGCTTAAATGTTACCCCCGAGGTGGGGCCTCCCTGACCACCTGCTCCCTTGCTGCTTCTCCCCACAGCACTTTTTACCTTCTAATAACCATATAATTTACTTATTCGCTATTGTTGTGGTCTCTCTCCCTCACTAAGATGTTCACCGTGGAACCTGCCTGTGAAAGGTGCAGAGGACTCTTGCGTGTGAACGAGTGAATCTTTACACATGTAATGAAATCAAATGTAAAAATGTGCTGAATCTTGAGTTTTCAGAATTCTGAGTTCTCAACAAATTAATCTTCCTATCTTTCTGCTTAAAATCATAAACCTCAATATTTTATTAAGTATGCATTTGAATTTAGAATCTCAAGGCTAATCTGACATAACATTCCAAAGTGTAAAAACTATGAGTCTGATTTTTTTACAACTTTTTTTTTTTTTTTGTGAGGAAGATCAGCCCTGAGCTAACATCCATGCCAATCCTCCTCTTTTTGCTGAGGAAGACAGGCTTTGAGCCAACATCCATTGCCAGTCCTCCTCCTTTTATTCCCCAAAGCCCCAGTAGGTAGTTGTATGTCATAGTTGCACATCCTTCTAGTTGCTGTATGTGGGACACAGCCTCAGCATGGCTGGAGAAGTGGTGCGTCGGTGCGCGCCCGGGATCCAAACCTGGGCCACCAGTAGCAGAGCGCGTGCACTTAACCGCTAAGCCACGGGGCCAGCCCCTGATTTTTTTACAACTTTAATGAGGTATAATTGACATACAGCAGAACCTCAGCTATTTTTGTGCAGTTTAAGGAGTTCCCACGTAGCTACCACCCGTGAACCCGTTACCACAACAAAAAGTGGACTTTTTTTTTTTAAAGATTTTATTTATTTATTTTTCCCCCCAAAGCCCCAGTAGATAGTTGTATGTCATAGCTGCACAACCTTCTAGTTGCTGTATGTGGGACACAGCCTCAGCGTGGCCAGAGAAGCGGTGCATCTGTGCGCACCCGGGATCCGAACCCGGGCCGCCAGCAGTGGAGCGCACGCACTTAACCGCTAAGCCACGGGGCCGGCCCTACAAAAAGTGGACTTGACTTTGCATCATCTTCTCTCTACTTAATTCTGACTTTTGGAGGATCACATAAAGCTTGTTGCCTGTTCTAGAAACAGTGCTGCCTTCCTCACGGGCTGGGTGGTTCTCAGCCGGGTGAGCCCCAGTTGGGCCTGAGGGTTGGGCCGGACGCGGGACTGACCGTTCCCCTGGCTCCTTCTTCACGTGGCTGTTGCAGGGACCGGACCTCACAGCCCAGATTCTTCCATCTGATGAAAGTCGACCGGCCTCCACCTTCCAACAAGACTTGACTCATCTCTCTGTTCTCCACCTTTCCATTGGCCAGTCACCACTCCTGATACCATCATCTGGACACATCTGATTGGCTAGAGGCCCTGGGTCACAGCTTGAGGGTCCCCCTGATGATAGGGCTGGGGCCCTGTGGGGTGATGGACTGGGTGGCCCTGCAGGCCTCCTGATGGAGGCATTGGGGCCACAGGGGCACCACGGCTTCTGAAAAAGTAGCACAGGGCTTGTTACTCACCGTGGCCACCAGGAAATGTGTCATCAGAGACCCCGGGTGGGCCACGTTTCTTAAGGAAGGTGTATTGTTGAAGTCTAATTAGCCTGGGCTCATTGAATAAGCAGGCTCCTCTTTTCCATATTCTCACAAGGAGTGTCACCCTGTTCCTCCAACGAGACCAGGAAGGCTGAGCAGGTGGCACCCTCTGACCTGGGCCACAGCCTCACTGTCCTGGACCCCATTCCTTCTTATGCCAGAGCCTCACCCCCGCTTGTCGGCACGTCCCCCTCCTGGCCACAGCCCCCTGCAGTGGGTGTCTGGGGAGAGCAGGATGGGTGTGGTGCAGAGGGCGCAAAGGAGGCCGCTGTTCCCACACTGACCTGCAGGCCCTGGGGCCACTCAACAGCCCAAACAGACCCTGAGCTGGGAGGTTGGCCCTCAAGGGAGGAAGGGGGAGGTCTGCAGATGAGAAGGATTCCTTTTGCTCATTGGGCATGGCCTGTAGGGAGGGAGGGAGGTGGAGGCAGAGCTAAGAT